AAGAAATGTAAACTACTTGTACATTCATTCCCATCAAGACTGGGATGAGCATTTGTGTGTGTGTGTGTGTGTCAGAGTAGGGGAGGTTGGTCTTAACTTTTTAAAAAGATCAATGCACACCATCATATCAGTCATATAGAAGTAAGATGCAAATACATGCAAGAAATGGAAACATGTGATCAACTGTACATGCTCCAATTCCAATTTTAGAAGTTCCTTAACTGAAAACATCATTCAAAAGGAGTGGAATGCAGAGAAAAACTGAAGGGAGAGAATGAGTGAAATCCTCTTTTCCCTACCCTGCTCTTTTCAGCCTCATCCCCAGCTAGTTCCAAGCCCCCAGCAATCTTGGCAACCTGGCTGCACATAAGCAGATAACAACAATGTGGTAAAAAGCTCACATGGGGTCCGTGATGCATTGCAGCCCTGTGCAATGCAGGCAGATTAGCGTTTCAGATGAGCCCAGGAACCTGCCTAACACTGAATCAGGCCTCAGGTCCAGCTAATCCTGTCCCACTGACTCCCAAAAGCAACAACTCTGCAGTTGGACATCTCTTCCTATGTCTGGGATCATGCAATCATAGAGATGGAAGGGCTCCTGGAGATCATCTCATCCAACCCCTTCCTCAGTACAGAATTGCCAGCTCAAGATGCACCCTGGGATACATAAACCCTGGGAGATGGCTGTCCAGTCTCTGCTTAAATAACTCCAGCAAAGCAGAGCCCACCATTTTCCAAGGCCATGCCTGTTCTGCTATCAACAAGTTTGTACCATGCAGAAGTTTTTCCTAATGTTTAGCCAAAATTTAATTCTCTATGGTTTTCATCCATCAGTTCTAGTCCTGCTCCTGTGGAGCAACGAAAAAGCCTGTTCCATCTTCTGCATGACAACTCTCCTTAATCTTAAGGAGACCCAGTGTGGCGTAGTGGTGAAGAGGATGGGACTGGGACTCAGATGATCTGGGTTCTAGTCCCCGCTCAGCCATGGCGCCAACTGGGTGACTTTGGGCCAGTCACAGACTCTCAGCCCAACCTACCTCACAGGGTTGTTGTTGTGGGGATAAGATGGCGCAGGAGAATGATGTAAGCTGCCTTGAGCCCTTTGTAGGAAAAAGGCAGGATGTAAATCGGAAAATAAATAAATAAATAAATAAACCTTCTCTTTCTGTAGAACTTGGTTTCTGATCCCTCAGTGTCCAGGTCACCCTACTTTAAATTAGGGATGCCGGGAATGGACCACACCTTTGGGCACATGATACAGTCACCTTGCTGCAAGTGGGTCTGGGTTTGGTCAGTGTCTGGATGGAAGACCATCTGGTAACCTCATGTGATCCTTGAGCTTTCTGCAGGCAGGCAGGCAGGCAGGCAGGCAGGCAGGCAGGCAGGCAGGAAGGAAGGAAGGAAGGAAGGAAGGAAGGAAGGAAGGAAGGAAGGAAGGCTTGCTAGCAATGTCCTTACATGCATTACATAAAATGTGCTCTCTTACTGAGTTATGGCTTCTACAGACACTCTTGGACTTCACTTCCCGTGAGCTCTAGCCAGCCTGGCCAGTGTTGAGGGGAAGTGTGAACAGCAGTTCATCCGGAGGGTCACCAGTTCTCTGACACAGACGTCAGCATTTCAAGATCCCTGATCCCACTCAAGATAGCAAAGAGCACTGATTGCTGGGGAAACAAGGGAGGGTGGTGGGGAAGGTGCTGTGTTCCCAGACAAATTCTCCAAGAAATGACTCGTTTAAAAAACCCTATTCTCTAAATTTCCTAGCAAACAATACAGTTGGGCATTATTAATATTCTTAAAGTGTAGAGATATTGGGTATAGCAAACTGATGTATAACAATGCCATCTTTAAGTTCATCAACAGGAGTAATCATTGATAGGGCCAAGCCAACCAGGCTTAAGCACTTTTAAATCCCACTAGTTTTAAAGGAAGAGGTGTGAACATATGGTTAATTTTTAATTGAAGCTGCTGAAAATGAGAAGTGCCTAAATTTTGACTGAATTTTGGAAGTGACATTTGGAAATATTTTAAATTTGATATGCAAAAACTGTATTATTATTATTATTATTATTATTATTATTATTATTAACAACCATCTAATTGGTGTAAAATCTCATTTCTGCCTCAGGATCAAATGCACCTGTCCTTGATTCCAGCTGGATGACAAGATGCTGTGACCTTAGTTGCATTTCTAACAAATGTTTCAGTGTTCTCAGTACTCACACTAGAGAACCAGTGACAATTGGTCATCACCAAGTAACAGAAGACCCCTGTTTTGTGTGATCAAAGCTTCAAGCTGGGTTTTCAGAGGAAATAGGTTCCTTATTCTGGCACCAAAATGTGGACAGTTGTTTCCCTGCCTCCACCCCAAATGTACCATGCTAGCTGGATTCTTTTGCAAGCTGGAACTTGGGTACTGGTGCTAAAGCCTCACGACAGAGACTTGTCCTTCCAGAGGCCACTTAGATGGAAGATCTAGCTAACCTGAGGTCCAAGGAGATGGAAGTGACTGAATGGAAGGCAGGGGCCAGTTGGGGAGGGAAAAATGCACAAGCAGGCTAAGCTCCAGAGCTGCATACTAACTGGGAGATGAAAGAGCTAGAGGCCTTCTGAAGTACGTGCTGTCTCAATGATTAATGGGGGTGAGGGAAGGGTGAGGCCCAGCCCCTAGTAAACTACAAGATGGCAAAGTGATTCTAAGAACAACAGAGCAGTGTTCATGGAGAAAAGCTAGTCTGCTTACGCCAAGAAAATCTCCTGGTGCCGTTTTTAAAAGCCTCTTTATTTCCAGTATCAAAACAGTACATTAAAATAGATGCCGTGAACCAAGCAACCATTAAAAATAAACCAGCAGTGATGTGTAACATACAGCCAAACATCGTTCGCTGCAGCAGTGAGGTTGTGAACTGGCTCTTCTTATTCCAATGCGTTCACTATTATTCCACTTCTGACTGTAAGACAATAACCCGTAGAGGCAGCCATTCACTCAGCCAGAAATCAACACACACGTGCATGCGCACACATAGGTGCTTTCTACATCCAACCTGTATCACAAGAGGTATAGTGCTTTAAAAAAGCGAGAGAGAGAGAGAGAAAGAAAATGCATCTTTAGATTTCCAGATGGTATCTCTTGGGCTACGTATGCAGTAGGAGATGCATTAGAGAGACCTTGTTCTCAAAGAAACGCTGTGCTTTCGGAAGAGATGGCCCCTTTAATGCAGGTTGTCTCAGAGCGGGGTTGCGCACTTGCCCTCAGATGTGGAGTAAGCCTAGTAAGGGATGAGGCAGGAAGTACATGGCGCACACAGCTGGCTAGCCTTCCTGCAGCAAGACTACAGCCCTGTCCAAAATATTTAGATGAGGCCGATAGAAGTAATACAGGCCAGTGCACCTCAGCCGGCGCTCTGGGATGGGCAGGGACTTCTTTTCCTTTATTTACTAGACCGTTGAAATCAACCAACTAGTGATGGGGGCAAAACACTTTGAACGAAAGGATTCGGAGCTCAAGGATTTGTTTCAAGTGTCAGTACTGGATGATGTTCATGGTCCTTCCACACCCAAAGTTAAGCAGAACAGTTGGTATATGTGTGTGCAAGGTGGGATGGGGTAATGTTGCTGCTGCTGCTGCTGCTGTTAAACAATGGGAAGGCAGAAACACTTGCTCACCTACTGCAAATCACCCACCCAGCAATCCAGATTACCTTCTGCCCACCTCTAGGGAGCTACTGAATTTTTCAATAGCTTATCAGGGATATCTTAATGAGAAAATCCAGAGATGGACAAACTTCCATGAGAAACATCTGGACTTGTCTACCACTGGCACACTTCTTCTGCAGTAAATAGTTTCAGGGGAATTCTGGGTAGATTTCAGGGTGAAACTTCCTTTCACAATGACCTCCATTGGTCCCAAGTAAATTAGCTTTGTCCCCTAAAAGAGGGGTTAGCAGAAGGAAGATCTCCAGATGTTTTAGACTTCAGCTTCCAGCATTTCTGAGCAATAGCCATACTGCCAGGGGCTTTTGGAACCTGAAGTCCAAACATCTGGTGACCCGCTGTCTGCCCACCACTGTCCGTACAACATTCTCCTGATTGTTCTGTAATACGCAAGGTTTCCTCAACTGAAAAGCCCAGAGTGAAATGGTTCTCTGCAGGCTGAAAGTCTGAAATGGCAATGCTTGAGAGTGAACAGGAGTGACTTTTGTGTGGAAGGGCGGTGAGTTGTGTGGATCCACCGGATGCCAGCACCTCTCCCTGTTCCAGGAGTGTGGCTCAGCTCAGAACAAACCCTTGGGTTGTGTGCCGCCTGCTCTGCTAGAAGGCTCTTGGGGTTCCAGCAAGCACAGGCATGCACACAGAGTCAATCCTACAAGTCTGATGTCTGCTTGTGTAAAAGAGTGGGGACAAGGGGCCTGCAGGAGGCGAAGACTGGTCTCCACCCTGTGGGTCAGAGACCAAAGTGCGGAAAAAACAAAGCACCGAGAATCTGGAGTGGACAAAGCAAAGAAGGGCAGCTTTGAAGTTCCCCATTTAATTAAATTCTTTCCCTTTATGAACATGAATGCCTGAAAAACCAAACAACTGAGTTGAACCCTTCCTCTCCATTGGAAGAGGATCCTAAGGCTGCTAGATGCAGAATACTGGAGCTTCACACCATCTTCTTCCACAAAGCCATTCGCCAAGGACTGAGAACATTTATTTTTAACACAATGCATAGACGGAAGCATCATCATTATTATTATTATTATTATTATTATTATTATTATTATTATTATTGAGAATCAAGGCAACCTCGCCTCCCAAATCAACTCTGCCACATCCTCCAGCTGCAGCCCCTCCTCCACCAATGAATGTTCTTCGGTACAGTTAAATAAATAGGAGGTAATGGGTGGGCAGAGGGGTGGGGTGGGAGGCCGGCTGTGGGTTGCACTTAGAGGTATTTTTTTAATGAGATAATAGGACTGTAGCAATTTCCCCTGCTTGGTTTCCATGGCACGGAGCCCTCACAGATGCATAAGATTTACAGGTCCCTGAGAATCTCCCTGAGGCACAGGATGTGTGGTGGTTAGATCTGCGTAAATGGGATGTGAGTGGGACGGCCCGAGCTGGTGATGGCCGGGGAGTTCAGCAGCACAGCTGTAGTCCAGGTTTGTGGAGGAGCAGTCGGGGAAGCTGAAGAGCGAGTCAGCCTCGGGCACATTTCCCAGGTAATTTTCTCCCATCTCGCCTGGGCTCCCTTGCAGAGCTGGAGGTCCGTAATGATGGCCTTCTCCTTGCACAGAGAGGGGGCCATATTCCAAGGAGACGGATGTCAAGGGGCTGTCGAAAGGAAGCTCTGCGTAAGCCCCGGGGCTATAGACCCCTCCCTGGGCCTTGCTACAAGAGCTTGGCGTGGCCTCCTCAGCCTCAGCCTCTATCTGACCATAGCAGTCGCTCATGTGGGGGCTTCTGCTCGGAGACCTCCTGGCGCTCCCCTTGGCCCGGGTGTCTTTCTTGTACTTCATCCTCCTGTTCTGGAACCAGATCTTGATCTGCCTCTCAGAGAGCCTCAGCAGCCGGGCCATCTCTAGCCTGCGTGGCCGGCAGAGGTACCTATTGAAATGGAACTCCTTCTCCAGTTCCACAAGCTGCATATGGGTGTAGGCCGTGCGGACTCTCTTGGAAGAGGAAAAGGTTGGTGGAGAGCTGGGTTCTAGATAAAGGAAAGGAGAGATTCCGTTCAGCTCAGACTTGAATGACTTTGCAGAGAGAAAATTCATTGCATCATAACGCATCTACCTGGAAGGAGGCAGCACAGAACCTCCCTCCCCACAGGGTTACAGGATTATGCCCCCAGACACCTTCCTAAATGCCTCTCAGGATGACCTACCCCTCCCCATTTTTATTTCCAATTATTTGAATATTTTGTTACTGGCAGCTGCTTCAAAGGGAAGTGGGAGCCTCTCATTGCTGCCGTCTTAGTTTCCCATGATGCCTCTGGGAAAGGTTATGTGTCCTTTGTGACGAGCCAGGCCCATCCCTGGCAACAAGTTTCTTCCGGGGACAGTTCCTCAAACTTCCAAATGTGCCCACTGGTTGCCTACCTCTAGTGTGTCATGTACAATTTTGCAAGTTTGACACAACTCAAATAATGTGAGTGTGAAGGTGCAGACATTCTCACCAGTGCCCAGACCTGGTCCCGCTTTTTGGTGAAAGGTGCTGGGGACAAGGCACTCCCAGCTGTGGCTTGCAAAAAGGGCACCATAAGAGCAAAACAGGAGCCGTGCTGGGTTAGACTGTTTGGTCCAGCTTTCTGTTGCCACAGTGGTCAACCAGATACCAACTCTGGGATGTGCACAATCAAGGAATGGGTCCCACAGCACCCTCTTGCCTGTGGTGCTAGTAACTGGCACCATGAGGCACGTTGCCTCCAAATCTGGAGGGTGTATAGAACCATCATAACCAGAAGCCACTGATAACCTGCTCTTCATTAGTTTTTCTAATTCCCCTTTCAAGCCAACCGATCTTCCGGACTTCACTGCCTCATCATGCAGCAAGACCTGCACAGAATTATGCCATCCTGTTCCCTATATAATGCCTAATTGGGTGGGATCTCTTTTGCAACTCATCAAAGGGAAAAGTAAAGATCTAAGGGGGGAAAGGTACTTTTAAAAAGCCAGAGGATCAATACTGCCAAAACACATGGGGAGGGGGGATTTGCACAATCTAATCATTTTCCACACTCCACCAAAAATGCTTATTTTCTACTCATAAAGTGAAATCAGAGAATATTTGGTGCAGCTCAGTAACATTCTGGGTGCTTTCAAAGGATTGTTTGAAATGTCCTGTGTTCCCTACATGTATCTGTCTTATCCACCTTTTCCGATGTTTTATTTGCCTATCCTCTCTCTGTATTCAGCCAAACAATTTTACATCTTTCTGTATGAGTCTACATCTATCCCACTTCTAATGGATAGTTAAACAAAGAGATTAATCAAAATATCATTAAGAAAAATGATTTTTATTTAATGAGAAATATGAGTATTCTCATAACATTAGCTTTTTGGTGAGGAATCTAGAAACAATATATTATAATTAGAACAATTTTTAAAGAAAAATATGTATTATAATGCAGAATTTCTCAAGCAGAAGCCTAGTTTCTTCTATGACCTAGGACAGCGCAATTAATAAATCAGTAAAATTTGCAAACACTTTCCAAGTAATTGCCTAAAGGATGCACTAAGGGCACAGGTTTTGGTTCAGCTATTGAAACTGGGGGAACTTAGGCCAGGCCCTGCAGTACCTGGATGGGGGACCACCAGAAAACCTTAAATAAGGTGCACTTTCTGCTGAGAGAAAGGGCAGGGTACAAATAGAATAAAGAAATAGTTATACTGCTGCGTACCAACTGTGTATCTTAAATTGTTTGGAAAGCTATACCTTAGATCAGTGTTTCCCAGCTGGCTCCAAAGGTGATGGGCCTCACAGTTAGCCCAGCTGGAGGGCTCTACCCTGGGGAAATGCTGGTCTAGACGCACATTGCAATAAGCACAGGAGATGGCTGATAAAAGCGAAGTACCTGAAGAAGGAAGGCTGCTGTTCTGCTTGGTGCTGTGTCTTGTTTCCTTCATCCACGGGAAGACTTGTTTTGGAACGAGGCTCTTACGAGCTTTGCTAGTGCCATTGGTGGAGATGTCACAAGGACCGGAAGAAGTAACCAGTGGTGGTGGTGGTAAGCTTGAGGTCTGATCGTGGCTGTTCCCTAGAGATCTCAGAGATGTCTCTTGGGAACCTTTGTGGTCTGTTGGAGACCCTGTGGATGCTTCTGGCTCCTGGTGTACCAGCGGAGCCTGAAACGGCTGCTGGCTAAAATAATCCCTCCTAACAGGAGCTTGGTACAAACTGCCTTCTGAGGACTTGTGGCCATCTTCATGAAGAGCCTTGTGCATTTCCTGTTCTTGTCTGACTGAAGGGATGGGGAGGGAGACCTTGAAATGAATGTGAAAGGAATCCAGACAGAGCTCTAGTTATTAGTGCCGAGGAAGGAACCTCCTCCATGAAGTGTTGTAAAAGCTAAGGGGAAACATTCTAAGTCAACATACCCTCGTTTCTTAACATGAACAACACTCACCAGCCATTCTGGCCCCTGGGCCAACCCTGCTAAGAAAGGAACATGAACTTTAAACACAGGCAGTCTTTTGTGTTTCAACAGCTTGAGAATTGGAAGAAACTTGGGCCCAGAAATGGTCCTCTGTAAATGTTGTTGCGTGTGCACCAGATAGTTGATACCTGGATTTGCCTACCAATGAGTTCATTTCAGTCCGACAGTCCTGGAAAACAGATCTATAATTTCATTTCGTATTTGACAGTATTTTATTGCTGATACACCTAGTGTCTAATATCATAGGATGTTTGACAGTTGGCATCCATAATACTCAGTGCTTGACTTACCAGGTAAATACAGTGATCTTTAGTTTTTTGACACAAGGGAATGCTACTTTTCCGTTTCCCAGCCAGCCGTGCCTTCATTCAAACAACTCCATTCCAGCTTACCCCTGATTTCACAAACAATCAGAATGTCTGTGTTACTTCCCATCACTTTTTAGGAGTTTCCATCTCCCAAAAAGGCTTTTTATACATCTGTAAACCTTGGAAACTTTTCCCCAGACTTGATGATCTTCCATCTCATTCAGAATTGGTGACATTTTGGCCGCATCAGGATAAAGTACTTGGAGAATGTTCACTACAAGTAAATATCATAATACTTGCCAGTGGAAAGTTTATGAGATGATACTCGTTTATATTTGGATACCTGGCAAAATAGAAATAGAATCTAGTGATGCCACTAAGCCTAAAGCAACCAAGAGTGGAATATTTCTTGTTCAGAATTTGGATTCCCAAATTTGGATTTGAAATTTGAGCTCTGGACATGGAAACTTGCCATGCTGCTGAAGTTTGCATGTTCCTTTCAATGCTCAGCTTTTCCATTCCTTGGAATGACAACGGTCAAGAGCAGACATGCTGAGGTCATGCTCATAAGCTGCTCAATGATCATTGTCAGTGATGATGCCCTCCTAATTGCTTACAAGAGACTAATAAACCCGCCCTATCCAAAATCCCTCCCTGTCTCCTATAGGCAGGCAAACACTGGTGATGACCATGAGCACAAGTCTCTTCTTCACTTATAGAGAACAATCTCTCCAAAATACAGAGCAGTCGATGGATACAAAGGGCCAGTTTGTGTGACTTGCTGCTGCTTAATGCATGATGAGTTGTTGCCCATGCTGGGTACCATCTTGAATATACCACCCTCTCTCAGGAGCTGCTGTTTTAGGTGAACCCAGCAACGGCCAAGCATTAGCCATTGAGGTTGGGGACTGGGCAACTCCTCTACAGCAGGGGGAAGCTTCCAGATGTTTTGTCCTGCACCTCCCAGCTAGCATAGCCAGTGCAAGGGATAATGGAAGTTCTGGCCCAGATGATCTGGAGGGCCGCAAGTTGCTGACTCCTATCCTATTGCATTGTGTAGGTAAAAGTATTGCAATAGGCCAGAAGCAGTGCATGCCTGTCTGTTGGAGTAGTGGTTCTAAGCATACTTTAGACTGGTGCAGCTGAACTGGAAGTGAATGGAAAACAGCAAAAATAGTTCAGATATTTTTAAGGATGGACAATAGTATATACAGCTAAGAAATTAACAAATGAATAATCACAATGGAACTTTTGATTAAACATGCACTGTATTGCACTGCAATTTATAGAAATGTAAGTTTTCCACTTTAACAAAATTAAACCTGTCAGCCAGTGTGATGTACTAGTTAAGAGTGTTGGACTGGGACTCAGGAGACCTGGGCGCTAGTCCCCACTCTTCCATGAAGCTCACTGGCTGACTTTGGGCTGGTCACTTCCTCTCAGCCTGACCTACCTCAAAGAGTAAAGATAAAATAGAGGGGAGGAGGACTATGAAAGCAACCTTGGGTTCCTTGCAGGGAAAAAGTGCCATACAAATATAATTAAAACAAGTAAATATGAAGGGGACAGCAAAGAATGAGGTGGCTAGATGGAGTCACTGAAGCAGTTGGTGTGAGCTTAAGTGGACTCCGGGGGAAGGTGGAGGACAGGAAGGCCTGGAGGAATCTTGTCCGTGGGGCGGGGATGGGTCCCACACGACTTGGAGACTAACAACAACAACAAATATTTGTAATACAATTAAGAACATTAGTGCCAATTGCTTGGCAGCCCTTCTTTTCTCCATCAGTAGCTTTGTGATCCTTTGAAAGGGTTCTTGTACCCTGCAGGCATGTAAGGCTTCTGTTAGGATGATCCACAGGAACCCTGGAATCAATTGCATTACTATGGCATGACGGAGTGGGCCAGGGAGAGTGTTATAGTTTGTTTTACTAATGGGAGATTTGCCCTGAACTGTTTCATCTATTACACATCTGAGTTTCTGCTAAGTATGTGGGAAGTAATGCCCACAGCATCTCCTTAATGAGTGCCCCTGCACCACAGCGCATGTTTGCACATATATCTGTTACACTTGCACTTTGCAACTGTAGTTGTACACTTAGGACATCTTTGGAACACACTTTTTAAAAGGCTGATGTGTAAAATGGCCCCAGGAGGTACAACCTATTGCCACTGTTCACCACAGCAAAAACTATCTATCTATCTATCTATCTATCTATCTATCTATCTATCTATTGCATTAAATACCAACTAGACCCACTTTCACTTCCAGGGGATGCGGGTTGGACCAGGGATGCATCAAGAGATGACGACTGTTCCAAGGCAGGTGGTCCATATGCATAGCATGACTCACACACAAAAGGTTGCACTGTAGAAGAATGGCGAATGCACTACAGAGAGGTCTATACTTCATCATTGCTATTGATGCCTATGCTAGCAGTAATGGCCTGCTTCATGTAAATACTGGAACCATTTGAGGAATAAATGTTTGGCTTGCAGTCAATACAATACCTATGTGCATGAAGTTTGCCCCCTATGACTAGGTGAAAAAAAAGCAAGAAGTATTTTGGATTGCTTCCCCTCCATCCTCTACCCAGCCACCTGAAGAATAACAGTGCATATAAATTCTGCAATAGGGTGGCAGAGGGGAGAGATGTTTTGTTTTAAATATTTAATTGAAGCCATACTTTCTTCAAAGAGACAAACAGAGGCTATTGGGAAAATCACTGGCCTGTACAAATGGTGGCAAGCATACAAAAGAGCTCAGATATGCATACTGAATTTAGCATGAATTTAGCATGGACAGTAATATTAAGTTGGCTGGTAAGCTATTTGAACAGCTGTAGCCTCACTGATGGAAATGGATGGGCCATCAATACACCCTCCTAAGATAAATTCATAGGCTGCACTGTGGATCATGCTAACCTCACTTCTGTATCGAAGAAAAACTGAATCCTAACATTTGATTTTCATATATTCATTTAGGTTGTATAATTTATTCAATTTGGATAAAGGGGAGGGGCAAAGAACTCTGTTAGAGTTCCAGATCACTAGAATTCCTATACTCCATTTTTTAGTCTTCAGTAGGCATGGGTCCTCCAGCTCCCAACCTATGTTTACATTCATAGGGACTAGGGACTTTTTATTTCTAAAATGAAAACCAAGATTCTCAGCAGCTCACTTAGGCTATTCTGTCCTGTTGAAAACTTGCAGGATACACATGAATTTGTTCAGGGGCTGGCTGCCCACTGAAATCCAGGGGAGTAAATGACAAGATGTGAATAAATAAATGCCCATGAATTGTGTCTGGTTAACTCGCCTCAACCTATGACTATTGCGATTGGCTGGTGGGTACAAAAGCTGGCTCAGTGAGACAACCGATTGATGTTAGTGGACAGCTTACATGCAGTGAGCAGAAACCAGTAAGATTTAATTGCCACTAATGTACCATTGAAAACATTTAGTAACTTCAGTCCTTTGATGTGAACAGGAATTAATTGTAACCAACTTTTGCTGGACTGTACTAGGCGGGAGCATTTTATTTCCTTTTTCCTTATTTATTTTGGTATGAATTGTTTCTCCTATTCATTGCCTTCAAGGTGAAAAAACATTCACCAGCTCTGCAAAGGGAGCATTTCAAAAGTTTGGTTCTCTTGGGGATATTTAATGCACTTAACTCATATGTAATAATAATATCATCTAACTTTTTTACTTATAAGAAAAGCATTTTAGTTTTATTAAAACTAAATACAACTTATCAAAATGAATTTTTACAACTATGCAGGCTTATCTGGGATTAAGTGCAATTGAACTGAGTGGGACTTTCTTCTGAGTAGAGATGTAGAAGAGTATTTATTAAAATATATTAAATACCTGGCATTTATACTGTTGCTGTTTTGCATTTACTTACTATGCTCCTCACTGTAGAATCTTGACAGACCAGCTCAGGATTCCCATTGATCTGAATAGAACTTAAATTTAAAGCAAAGTGTCCATAGGAAAATGGTGTAAGCTTAAGGTTTTGTCCATAAAACTTGTCACCCATTTAAGAGCCTTTTAAATGCTGTTCTCTCCTTGTCCCCCTTTACTTCTACTACATTCCACCTTTCTCACAATTTTTCTACACACTGTTTCTTCCACTGGCATGTTTTATGGTTCCCTAAGTAGAATTTGCTCAAATAGATGGGATTTTCTTGGGGAGAAAAATACCCCAAAGAGGAGTGAAATGTGTGTAAGTGTGTGCGCGCGTGTGTGTATAATATTTATGGCTTTCCAGTCTGTCATCCTGAAGTTTCAGGGCAGCTGAGCTTCCCAAATTCACATTGGGGCAATAGATTTATTTTTATTTTTATTATTTTATTTTTGAGGTTACTTGTGCAGGATTTGAAGGCACTGAATATGTCAGTACGCACATTTAACTGGAAGTTTCACTGGACTTAGTGAGGCTTACTTCTGAGTAGGCTTGCACAGGGTTGCAAATAAAGGTCTTTTTCGCCTGGTAGGGGAGAGGAAGAGATTTGCCTTGCAAATCCCTCTGGCCCATCCTTTTGTTTCCAAAATCACCAAGGTAGGTAGAAACTCTTCAGCAGGGCATGAGGACAGAAAGAACCCATCTTCGTGGCGGGATCATCATAGCCCTCTGTCTGCAGAGAGTCCACTTACAGGTCATTCCAGTGGTTATCCATAGTCCTCCCCTCCACAAATCTGCCTAATCTTTTCTGATAGCTAATTGAAACCACACCATCTTGTGACTGTGAATTCTGTCGGTCAATAAGAAGTTGGAAGAAGGGTAAAAGTGTCTCCCCATAGAGTCCTTTCTCTCCCCCCCCCCCCCGCCTTATACAGGCATTTTCTCCAAAATCTGTGAAGAAGCAGCCCTTACCCCCTTGGCTCAGTGAAACAGAAGGATGCCTTTCGATAGAAGTGCAGATTTCGAGCGACACACCTTCATTCGTGCAAGAAACTTCAGGCTACCTATGACCATTTTTGGGGAATCCATACATCCTTGCATTATTTATTATATGTAACCCTCTAAAGAGGAAAAGAAGTGGTGGGAGGGAGAAGGTGTTTTGGAAAACATTTCTCAAAATGGGATGGCGGGGTGCACCCTAGAAAATGAGCAGAGGTAGATTCCCGGCCAAAAACTGCGCACTGCTCCATTTTCGTTTCCCCCTTGACGCTCCTTCGGCAGAGGGTTCTTGCCTCGCCTGGTCGAAGCGCCTCAGCAGCTCTTACGCGA